CACTCACTCACGTTTGCATAATGTGTGTGAACATACGTGCCTGTGCACGTCCATTGTAGGCGAGTTGTGCTTGTGTGACCACGTCTTTTGAATCATACTCGCCAATTATTCATGGGGTAGTGGAAACGTGGAAAGGAGGGGATGTATCTGTACAAGGTGTTTATGCATTGATACGTCTCATTGTTTTCCTGATGCGATAATGTTTTGTTGATTCAAGTTGCTTTCAAAAACGAGCAATTCCGAGTACATTTTTCAATTATGTACAATGTAATAACTTTTATTTTCATGAGTTTCCTGAAAGTTTGAGTATTTTCTCGTTACTTCAATATTCTTTCAAAAACCCGATACTTACGAGTTTTTCACAGAAAGTAAAAATAAGCACAATATAACCAAATAGAGAAAACAATCGTAATTTCAAGTTTTTAAAAGCGAATTTGAAGTAATGACAAATTAATCGATATTAGACAATATAATGATACAACGAAAAACTAATCGAAGCATCGAGAAATTTCGAAACATATTTATACTAAAAGAATGGCACCATCAGGCTCTCGTATTAAACGTAGTCCCATTCTTTATTTGTTTGGTTCAACCTATGTCAACATCGCTACACACTGTTAATAGCATGTTACGTCTTGGTGGAGCTAACGCCGTCACTGTCATCTCTTGTGATTGCATCCATACAAAGGTCAAAACACAGAATACATGATGTCGATGTGTTGCAGAAGGTGAAGCTACCGTCGTATCTAGACTCACGCGTTGATGCCGCGAATCACTTGTCATGTAACCATAGGAACTGCACTTGGTGAACCATCGACCTTATGAAGCAGACTCGCTTAACACAACTTCACGAAGAGACGGGGACTCGTCCACATGCGTATCCTTCATGCTCAGGTGACGTTTAGGTCAAACTGGTTTCTTTAGGAATGTCCGTTCGTAGAGCAACACTACAATGGCTTCATTACAGTTTTATATACTGCGGTGTTCGCAGCCGAAACTCCTCAAATAGTGTCATAGTTTCATACCTTACTTTAACAAGAAAATCCTCATCAGAAAAATATTTAACCAATGTTTGCTTGGTTCATACTTCTCGTAATGTATATTCTTATATAGTAAGATGTAAGCAAAGCCAAACGTAAGAGAATCGTTGTCTAAATATCGATCTATTATCAATAAATATCGGAGACGTAACTCTGAGCAAAATGGGAAAAAAAGAACTGAAAGAAATAAATCTATTTCCCACTACTGGTGAGTGACATTTTTTAGCATGGGTTATTAACAAAAGTTCTGCTCATAATTTAGAAGTTTTTAGGCTCTGTGCTGAGCACAAATAAAGGTACTGAATACAGTCCTAAAATTGCATATTGACTGAGAAAGTTCACAAAGGTTACTATACAATATTAACGATAGCACAATTTTCATATCGATAATCATTTATAATTTTACTATCGATTATCTTCGATTATCGATTACGTTAGCCAGCCCTCGTGGACCCACTGATGAACATCTGTGTTTGACGAGACATATATTCCAATTAAGCAGGTCGGGATATACAAGTATATATGACCTTCTTGTTGAAACACATATCCCACCATGTACAGTGTCATCAAAAGGTAGGACTGTCACAACGGGCATTCACGCCATCATGGTTCCAGATCACGTCACCAGCCGTTCATTTAAATGGCGTATGAATGGGAGGGTTGTAAATCGTGTAAACGTCACACTCATTTTACGTACATCATTACATGAATATACATTGCAGAATTAATGTCATGTGTCAAGACAACCTGCCCGCTGTGACCAGTCCCTGACGAAGTATTTAAAAATTCCAACATGGTTTTTTTCCGTTGGTATATACACATGACGGAAAATAAAACCAGAAATATTTTGAAAAGCCACTTTCATTTGCTCAAAACGCATGCTTTTCTTTTCCTTCGGAATAGGCATTCAGGCGTTTCTACATGCATCATGACACATATCATCTAACTCATGTGTAACTTAAAAGGTGACATTTATGGATGTCAATTTCTTTCTGAGGAACACAATATTTCGGAATATATTTACACTCCTCCATCGAGTGAATGAAAAAGTAGGAAGCAGATAGCAAAATATTCAATATGTGGAACATTGATAAGACATGGTTGGTTGATTGGTTGAACATTGATTGATTCCTGGCTTGTTGGAATACGAATATGCTGCGAAACATTGTGTTTGCTGGCTGGAAGCTCTTGTTGGAATACGAATATGCTCCGAAACATTGTGTTAAAGAAGTTGACCCATGAAGGTCCGGGTTAGAATGAACCTTCAAAAACCCATGCCTGTCGTAAGAGGCGACTAACTGGATCGGGTGGTCAGGCTCACTGACTTGGTTGACACATGTCATCGGTTCCCAATTGCGCAGATCGATGCTCATGATGTTGAATACTGGATTGTCTGGTCCAGACTCGAGTATTTACCGACCGCCGCCATATAGCTGGAATATTGCTGAGTGCGGCGTAAAACTAAACTCACTCACTCTCTTAAAGATGTTGACACCCACAAGTTAGCATCATTTAATTGCCGAGGTTTACGTAATAGAAAGAAAGGAAAAGAAACAATGAATATATGTGAGAACAAATGTCCCATCATATACCAGTCAACCAGACATTCATGGTGACTTTAACATCATGGGAAATATATGGAGAATATAAAGTATAAAATTGCCACATATAAACCTATTGCTGGAGGGCACAATATATAGTGTGAATAAAAAACATATCAAAACCTCAGTTTTAAACCATCGCTCATTCCTTTCTCTTCAAACCGAATCAGGACGACGTGAACAAAGTTTTTGGTGATGCGTAAAAATATCTTGCAGGGTTATTTAAAATCGCATCGTGTCATTTTTAACTGAGAATAGGGTCACAAAAGGATCAGCAAACTAACATTTTGCCAGTCAGCCTGTTATCTTGATGAAAAGGTAATCTCTTTGTTGTTTAACGCCGCAATATGGTGGCAGTCTGGTCCATACAACCTAATGATCAATAGCATGAGCATCGTTCTACACAAATGGGATACGTTGACATGTGTCAACAAGTCAGCGAGCCTGACCACCCAAGTCAGCGATGGGCCTGACCAATTCTAACCCTTCAGAGGTCCTATTCCTGCATGTATTAAACGGCAAGTAAAAAAGAAGTAAACTAAAACGTGCTTTCGTTACATACGTCAATTTACAAATCTACTGAAAAGGCTGACTCAGGTATGCCCAAGCAGCGATATCGAAGATTATATATAGATATATCCCCAGCAGACCAAATGACCTAGAAACATGCATACTCAGACTACCCAGTGTGCATCAGGTGGTTATGGCACTTTCCATTCATCAAAGAAGTGCCTCTGTAAGTCAATTGTTTCTGACCAATGCAAATATGACATGATCCAAACATACAAAAAAAAAAAATCGTAATTGCACTAACAGCTTTAAAAGAATGAACAAGCAAAGGGAAATAGTTGCAACCATCTAAATAGGACTAGCCTTGGTAACCACAATACACGGTATGGAGCCTCTGCATGTATTTTACTACTAGGTGTGTGTCAACGGTTGACTTACCCAGAATGGACCTCCACAGAATTTTTCAAACGAGCCCATATCCAAGTATGATCACACACAGCACACCTTCATCTTGTCGTGCATGAATCCGACCCCCTCACTGGGAAAGTCGAGTCAACAGGTAGCGAGGAGTGTGACATGGCACTGTATTTTGACCCCGCCGTAAACACCATGGCTACATACTTACATGGATACTTAAACCGTCTTACAGGAACAGCTTCCGACTGAATAAAATGTCCACATGTAGCTCCCTTGTATTTGGTATATATATACACATTCATTCATTCATTTTATTTATTTATTTATTTATTTTTTTATTTATTTATTTATCCTTCATTCATTCATTCATTCATTTATTTATTTATATATTCATTCATTCATTCATTCATTTATTTATGTATTTATTTATTTACTGATGTGTTTGGTTGTTTTATGTGTTTGGTTGTTTTATTTATTGATTTTTATTTATGAACAAATTGATATACTCATAATGAACTAACTGATATACACGTAAATGTTTTTGTAAGACCACAATTATATGTACATTATATATATATGATGATCATGCTTTTTTGTCCGAATTATTATTTAAGTTTTCAATTTCTGGTCCACTACTTGCAGAATTCTATATTTGCTTGAAGATATTCACTGTTTTCGTAACTATATTTTCACCGATATTATAGCTGGTATATCGCAGAGTGTGCCGTTAAAATGTTGTTTCAAAAATCGCATGCTTTCTAAGGCATGGTGTACAAGTTTTAGAGCATGATAGCGTGCGGTTGAAAGCATCATGCATCAAGCGAGTGCTTCAGTGTAGACGGACGGGGACAGGTTATAAACTGGAGCGACACTTACGAAAGACACAGCGACTCTGTTGATGCATTATGTTGAGTCTCACACACGTGATGATATAAACCAGGCTGACTGACAGTATTCTCTACTTACCACCATAATCCATCCAGAGGCGGTGAAGGATTCTCTACACATGCATTCAGAAAGGGGAGAAGTTGTCAGAGCAAAGAAAGATCGCACGCATTAATTAGCACCCAACTTGGAAAATCAGTTCTTATAAAAATGTAAAAATGAAAATACTTTATTTTGCTTGATCAGTAAGAGGTTTCAAATCACTATACACACCTTTAAATGAAACAGCCGCTGTTAAGGTTTCATCACCATGAAATCTATATGTAATGTATAGTCGGTTGTCATATCAAGTCTACTATGGCCCTGAAGAATGTTATGTTGGTATAGGTTAAAATAATTTTAATATCAGGTTGTTAATTCAATTCGATATCGTCAAAATCTGCATTTTAACGCCGAAGAATGATGAAAGTTAGTTATTATTGATCAAGAAATAATTTTAATATCAAGTTTTGAATTTGCATTTTAACACTGAAGAATGATAAGTCGGTTTGTATTGAACAAAATAATTTTAATATCAGGTCTTGAATTCAATTCGATATTGTCAGGATTTACCTGCATTTTAACAGAAAACATTTGCACATTTAAATATTCATTTATGGATAGCCTCCTTAAAACTCATGCAACAATGAATGTCGATAACCTATTACCTTGCGTTCTATATTTCAGAAGTTGGAGCAAGTTCTAAATCTGTTTAGAATAGAAGGTAAGTATCAAACTGAACACTTTATTGTGACATTATACATTACTTTGTTGTCTGTTAACATGAAAATACTTTACTTGGCTTGATCAGCAAGAGGTTTCAAATCACTATACGCACCTTTAAATGAAACAGACGCTGTTAAGGTTTCATCACCATGAAATCTATATGTAATGTATAGTCGGTTTTCATATCAAGTCTACTATGGCTCTGAAGAATGTTATGTTGGTATAGGTTAAACTAATTTAATATCAGGCTGTTAATTCAATTCGATATTTTCAAAAGCTGCGTTTTAACACCGAAGAATGATGAAAGTTAATTTTAATATCAGGTTTTGAATTCAATTTCATATTGTCCAAATTTGCATTTTAACACTGAAGAATGATAAGTCGGTTCGTATTGAACAAAATAATTTTAATATCAGGTCTTGAATTCAATTCGATATTGTCAGGATTAACATGCATTTTAACAGAAAACATTTGCACATTAAAATATTCATTTATGGATAGCCTCCTGAACAATCGATATGTCGATTACCTTGCGTTCTATATTTCAGAAGTTGGAGCAAATTCTAACTCTGTTTAGAGTAGAAGGTAAAGTATCAAACTGAACTCTTTATTATGACATTGCACATTACTTTGTTGTAACTTTTCGTCTAGTTGTGGAGTTCCTTTTACGTGCATATTTGCAGGTTTATAATAGTGTACCTTATAACACCTGTGTGTACTACAAACACAAACAAATTCCCTGCTGACTAATCTCAGGAAGAACCCGTTAATATGGATGGTACCGCGTTAATGTGAGTGAGTTTAGCTTTACGCCGCACTCAGCAATATTCCAGCTATATGGCGGTGGTTTGTAAATACTCGAGTCTGGACCAGACAATCCAGTGATCAACAGAATGAGCATCGATCTACGCAACTGGGATACGATGACATGTGTCAACCACGTCAGCGAGCCTGACCACCCAATCCCGTTAGTCGTCTCTTACCACAAACATGGGTTACTGAAGACCAATTCTAACCTGGATCTTCACTGTGCCGTGTTAATGAGATCGACAGATATATATCCGTATTAACGAGTGAGTTGGTCGTTTGTAGTCCCCTTTCGGGATCATCACAACATGAATCACATTGGCTTCACTGACAAAAGTAACGTCTCGATTCGAACCCGCACATTCTGCGTGACGACCAAATGTGACAACTACTAGGCTAGCCCACCACCATTGACTGATAAATCACAAAAACATGCATAGTGAATGTTAATTGTTTAAGTATTGATCAAAACGTTTTAAAAAGGAATTTTCACAGGAGGCGTTTGTCAGGAGTGTGCAAGTTCTGGACAAGCGGTGTTTCTCCGGTCTACGAGGGAACACACAGTATATACAGCACATGTCTACAGCTGGTCTCTTTGTCAACATTTATGATCGTTGTAAAAGATATGTAAAACCGCAAACCGGATATATACTAGATGTGTGACGATACAGAAATTTCACCATATGAGGCGTATCGCAATATCTTGGAACGATACGATTCGATGTATATCACGATGTGTTATCTTTACTTATTATTCTTTAAAAAAATATATTTTGATTGTAAGTAACAGTGTAAATTTTTACATAACCATCAATTTCTAGTGAAAATACACAATTTTAAGATCCACTGTACATATCATGATAAGAAAAATAGTATCGATATATTTATCGTAAGATAAAGTATCACGATTATCGATACTACGATTTAGATAAATCGTCACAGCTTTAATATATACTTGGTGAGTGAGTGAATGAGTTTAGTTTTCCACTGCACTCAGCAATATTCCAGCTAAAAGGAGGTGGTCTGTAAATAATCGAGTCTGGACCAGACAATCTAGTGATCAACAGCATGAACATCGATCTGCGCAATGGGGAACCGATGACATGTGTCAACCAAGTCAGCGAGCCTGACCACCCGATCCCGTTAGTCGCCTCTTACGACAAGCATAGTCGCGTTTTGTGGCAAGCATGGGTTGCTGAAGACCTATTCTACCCCGGAGTTTCACGGGTCAATACATACTTGGTATGAGTATGTTCCATAAGCGATAAGTGAGGCAATATTTTGCCAAATATGACATATGTTGCATGACAATTTTCGCTTTTTCTTTGAGAGATCATAACAGTCACGCAAAAGGATAGAAAATACTCTACAAATTAAACAAACATATTTAATGATTTTACTTTCAGCACAATCTTACAATGATTAGATATGTTAATAACAGTACAAACATAAATCCATGCATACAGGCACACAGGCGAACAGGACAAAATCTATATGTCAAACCTTTCATCACGTTTAATGTTAGTTTGTTTACGAGATACAGTGAGTGCTTATGAAAGACTATGACGGCGACCAGACAATGTAGTGACGGTTAGTCTGAGCAACGAGCCGTCTTGGTAGGACGAGACACGATCAACCAAGTCAGCGATACTGACCACCAAGTAGATTGCAGAGGAACGGCTCACACCTGGAATGTGTTGTTTGTTAATGTACTTGACACGGAGGACTAATAATTAAGACCGAGCACCCATATACACAGGGAACAAAGCGTCAGTAGCACCGGTTACATATGTTGTTATGTCCCGATCTGCTGTGAATTCCTTACACATTATACATATTACATTGATCTCAGTTGCAAAATTTGTAAAGGACGTGTTTCTCCAAATTTCACATCATCGAAATGAAGATGTTTCATTTGAAGTGGCCAAATAATTATTGCAATTAATGAAGCATTTTCAGACACGGCACTCGATAACCGATTATCAAAATGGTAAATCCGCAGGAAACAGGTTATCAAAATGGTAACTATATAGCAAAATGGTTATCAAAATGGTAACTATATGGGAAAGGTAATCAAAATGGTAACTGTATAGGAGAAAGGTTATCGAAAAGGTAACTATATGGGAAAGGAATTATGATCAAAATGGTAACAATAGTAACATATCAAAGTGGAAACATCAGGAAAATATTATCAAAATTGATCTATATAGGAGAAAGGTTATCAAAATGGTAACTATATAGGAAAGGGTTATAAAATGGTAACTATATCCAAATTATCAAATGGTAACTATATGAAAGATGTTTCATATTAGTGGAAGAAATAATCAAAATGGTAACTATATAGGAGAAGCATTAGGAAACAGGTTAGTAACTATATATAGGAAAAGGTTATCAAAATGGTAACTATATAAGAGAAAGGTTATCAAAATGGTAACTATAGGAGAAAGGTTATCAAAATGGGTAAATCAAAATGGGTTAAAATCAAAATGGTAACTATATAGAGAAAGGTTATCAAAATGGTAACTATACAGGAGAAAGATTATCAAAATGGTAACTCTATAGGAAACAGGTTATCAAAGTGGAAACACTATAGGAAAAAGATTATCAAAATGGTAACTATATAGGAAACAGGTTATCAAAGTGGAAACACTATAGGAAAAAAGTTATCAAAATGGTAACTATATAAGAGAAAGGTTATCAAAATGGTAACTCTATAGGAAACAGGTTATCAAAGTGGAAACACTATAGGAAAAAGGTTATCAAAATGGTAACTCTATAGGAAACAGGTTATCAAAATGGAAACTATATAGGAGAAAGGTTATCAATATGGTAACTATATTGCGAAAAGGTTATCGAAATGGTAACTATATAGCAAAAGGTTTATCAAAATGGTAACTATATAGGAAAAGGTTTATTAAAATGGTAACTGCTTATGAAACAGGTTGTCAAAATGGTAACTATATAGGAAACAGTGGTCCAAGTACTGAAAACTGAAGGTAAAAATCACAACAATGATTCCTGCATCAAACACATCAATATGGAAAACCGTAATAAAGATTGATGTCGGGAACAGGAAACAACATACTATTATGCAGAGTAGTATACGTGATGGGGCATGGCATCACTTCCTCCACCGATGGTCGAAAAATACGGAAAACGGCGTCGACCATTGTTCGATGTCCTCCATATTTTTATATGTATTTTTTAAAATTTTATTTTATGCCGTTAAAATGAAATCAGTGACTGCCGAATCGTCTGCACCGCGCAGGGATAAAGAGCCGAAACTTTCAGGCCGGGTCAGTGTGACGTACAACATCGATCAAGTGGATATCAAAGAAGGCCGACCGCAATTGTATTATCTAAAGGGATCACACATGGGATTCGGGCGAGAGGAATTTCGCATCGTACCATGGTCGACACCGTCTTCCATATTTTCCGATCATCGGTGGGGCATTTTTTGACATAAATATTGCCAGAGACGGAAGTAATGCCGTACCACCATCATGTTCACTACTTGCACTACTATAAGAAACCGGCATTTTCAGTATTGTACGACTCTGAAACGCCCCGACGTTGCTGGAGATGGGTTTTGAGAGTATTTACGTCATATCACAGCGTGCCATCTTGAAGTGAAAGTAAAACATGAACAGATCTGGTCGTAGACATGGACCTTGTTGAACCCCATGAGCAGGGATTTCTGCTGACGAATGTAGAAAAACACGGATAATCAACACGGCAAATCATTCGCCTCTGACGACGACATTCATACATAGATGACAGTGTTGTTGTAATGCTTCCAGCCACGAATGATCTCATACAGTCTGTCTCCAGGGGATTCTGTCGGATAACCTACGTCGCGACGCCCCAGCAACGTGTACGACGGTGTCAGTTCGCCGTACCTGACTCCGTATGAAAGCAACGCCATCAGGGCGTCAAGGGCGGCTTTGCTTGGCTCCCGGTCATTGAACTTGCCAATGAAAGCGATTCCTGTAGTAATGAGAAACGCTATTGTATAAATTCATTTATGGTAATTTGTTCAACATGTTCAATATCAACAGACGCCAGCGTAAAAGCCGAATTGTTTTAAGAACTTCTTGCTGAGTATTATACCTTTCGCTTCATGCTGATTGACCCTTGTGTTCCTCTTGAGGTGTTGATGTAATTCATTCTTCACAACGTCACAAAATCTTTTATTTGACATATTTACAACTGTAACATATGTCATATTTGGGATAACACTTTCTTTGTAAAGTACACGTTCTAGTACTTTTGTTGGGTTGAGTCCCATCCGGGATTCGACCCACACCCTCAGAGTGGGATTCTGGGATTCGAACCCAAAGAAAGTGTAATCCCAAATATAACACATGTTACATTTGACCACTTTCTAAATGGCGTTGTGTATTTCATATTTACAACCCTAATCCAACCGAGTTGGTATCCTCACCATGGATCAGAAAACCTGTTTTTTCCACATCAATTCAGCATGGAAGAAGATTTAATATATATCAACTTAGGGAGAAAATAAAATTTACATTTGATTTGAAAATGGTTTAACATACATACAAGAAATGGCGTTTAGTCAACACTCAAAGAATTATTTTACTTCTGATTTGAAACTTCTAAACTTCTAAAACAAAGTATACTAAACTACCTTAGCACCATGTGCTTGAAAACGCATATCCATGTTTGACTAAGCACAAACATATTTCTAAGACATGACGGGAGTCACGTGCATGCAATATTATTTCTCACCCTGTCTTCAGTAAACCAATACCGTTTTACACAAAATTACCCTGCCGTGGAATCATTTCTACAACCCGGAATCTGTGATAGTGAAATAAACACTATCTAATCTAAAACAGTTCTTTTTTTAAACATAAATTAAATTTGCCAAAAACGGCTACTTTCTTTTGACCCTCAATTTGGAATAATTATAACCTACGCTGTCAAGGCGACGTATCTCGACATGAGGCCATGTACATGTCTTTCTCGAGAGGGCGGTATCGTCTCGGAGTGAATAAAACATACTTTGTCTTGACAACGCATTAAGTCTTTAGGAATTATAGTCACTTGGCTATTCCATTGTTGCACAACATGAAGTGAAGTGTCGTTAAGGAAATGTGGCCTGTTTTACATGCTGTAATCCATGCGTAACAGCCCATACTGTGCCTTTCGTTCACACAGCTATTCATTAGATGACATTGATACAATAATGACAAAGTGAATGCGACGTTTCGGTATATATTCTTGTACCGCTATCAATCAGGGATGACATTTATCGTCTTATTTGATTATCCCCTGATGTGTATGGTGTCAGATCAAAAGGTTCAATGTCAAGGTCAACGCTGATATCTATTTGTCTGTGTGCTGCCTATCACTATATATCTGAGTACATCTATACTGTCTGTTAGTATGGCAGCACGACTTTTTGTGAGTTCAATTTTATGCCGGTTTTAGCAATAATCCAGCTATATCAGGGCGGGGGACAGAAATAGACTTCACACATTGTACCTGGGAGCCCGAGTGTGAAGCCCATTTCTTGTTCCATTGGTTGTGATATCAATTGAATATTGTTAAAGGGGCGTAAACCGATACTCACTCACTACTTGTTTCCCTTGGAACACCTGGTGGAGAATCCTTAACCTCCCGCAAAGCTAACTAAGACGACTTTGTATCAAGGATTTGGCTTTTGTATTGAATTGCCCTCAGAGGTTGATATTTCAACAATTGAAGCAATTTGAAAAACAGAAAATCGTGAATAGACCAAATATGTCGCATATTTGATATGTTATCAAAAAGAAACATTCATTTTAAGGAATATTATATGAAATATTACAATTCCTTTTCGAGATAATATAGAGCAAATTGCACGCGAAAACACGTCCATTAACCCTGAAAACTCTCCAAGGCAGATACCCTGTACGAATTCGTATTTCGTAAATTCTGTCACATATATACACTACACGCCAAAAGAAACGTTACCCTCCTACCTTTATGAATTACTGAAAAACTATGAAAGATATGTTGGAAGGTATTAGTTTACAAGAAAGCTTAACAACACATCTTTATGCAAATCAGGAAAATACTAAAATACATTCATATTTAGGTGAGGTGCATCGTTTTCAGAAGAGTTAAATTGTCCTATTTTCGTCAATGCCGAAATAAACCAAGAACAGTGATTTAGATGTCCAAAAGAAAGGCTGAAATATAATGCTGCTTTGAGACAAATATAAACCATTTAAAGTCACCAATTTTCAACTATTAAAACAAGAAACAGCTGTTGTAGAGTGTGTAAAATTGTAAAATAAACATTCCTATGATTCTTATAAAACATTTTCTGCTGATTTGCATTAGAGAAAACAAGTAAAACGTGTCTGGAAATTGTGAAAAATGTTTAGGAACATCTAAAATTATCTTTGTTAACATTGTTGCTTGCAAAGTAACATTTTCTTTCCATTTTCTGTGTACACATAGCAATATCAATCGCCAAAACGCAGCAATTTTCAAGCAGTATTTGCATCCATTTTACATGTGGAATGATTCTATAGAGTATGAAGAGAGCCTAGAATACTTGATATGATACACAAGTACGAGAAATATGCCACGATTAACAGCTGAAGAGAAAGAAAGAGCCACTGGGATGGTGCAGATGGGGTCGACGTACAATTATGTTGCCAACGCCCTCGGATGTCACCTTATCACAGTTATAAGACTTATTCCGGGCCTCAGTCAAACTGGGGTCACCGTAGACAGACCAAGGAGTGGACGTCCACGCATCACAACGCCAGCTGAAGATAGGTACCTCCGTCACTAAGGCAGGAGGGTAACGTTTCTTTTGGTGTTTAGTGTATGTTACCAACATGTACCTCGACAAGTTCGTTCAAAGAATCGATCTGTGGTAACTCTAAAAGGATTCATTGTCCGAATTGGCAGCCAGTATATCATTCTTGTCGCAAATTTTAGTTTGGGGTGTTTGTCCTTAGCAACATTCTTGCTCTGTGACAAGTGAATGAGTTAAAGTTGTTGTTTTTTCAGCCATATCGTGACTACTATGACACGTGCCATGTTAGCAATCGTATCGATTTTCTCCATGATAACAATCTGAGTCAACTGATTCCTGAGCTTCAACAAATCCCCTTTTGTACTCACCGACTGATACCTTGTTGTAGCCGCCTGTGTGAGCCCCCACGGCGCCCCACCCACGTCCCTCGTACACGTTGCCGTCATCGCCGATAGCGAAGTTGTAGCCGATGTCAGACCAACCTGCAAAACAACATGAGACTTAACGTTTAATATGTTTGGACCCAAATATTTTCCAAGATTAGTTTGTTATATTTCCCTCATGTATTTATCAATGTTACACATTTGGATGGGTTGTAGGCATGTGTTACCAACAACACAGCTTTGTTTGATTATCCACTACATAGCCCTTCAGATACCGATTCACTGGTTCAAACTGACATTATAGTCTGTTTGCAGTGAAAACGTACCGACGGATTTCACTTTAGGCAAAAAAGTAAATCAAATAAAGTGAAATTAAGACTGCAAATCCTCATATATTTGCCTTGCCAACTGAACATTTAAATCTCAGAATTTTATTCATTGTAGGACAAAAGTTGTTTAACAAACGATCATACATTCAAATCGCTATTATTGGTTTTATTTACAAGGGGTGAGCGCAGTAGATGGAACAGTGAAACAAATGTACATGAGGTTCGTGATGAGCGTTAACTTAGACCAACTCTACTTGTTCTCGGTGTTTCAGTTAATGTGCATACACCCTTGTAATACAAACCAAAAATAGCGATTTGAAACTATTATTGTTTGTCAAACAAGTTTTATCCTAAGTTGAATAAAATTCTGAGCTTTAAAGGGTCAGTTGGCAAAAGGTAATATTATGAGGATTCGCAATCTTAATATCATCTTATTCGATTTACTTTTTTGTTTAAATTGACATTCATCCGTACGTTTTCAATGCAAACATACTATAGATACCGGATTCTCACTACGTCAGGGACCTGCCACTATATCTACGACTTATCTCCCTTTGTAGCCAATAGTTACTTACCTCGTCCGTCCATGTGAAAATTCTGGTAGGACTGCATCAGTCTGACACAGTCTTGCCTGTAGCTGCACCCTGCCGATGCCCCGTGGTGAATGATGACGTATTGAGGAGTTGCCGTCAGCCTGCCTACCCCCTGGCCGGCAAGCCGTGCCCCCCACACAGCACGTGCCATGATGGCGGGACAACCGGGCACCATCACTCCTGACGTGCCTTCTTCTGTTAAATGTAGAATGTTATATTGGGCCAAGTCAATCTGTGAAAAGAAAAGAACAAAAAAAACTTTTAAAGTCTTTACATATTCAATATAGTGTTTCGTCCTGCGACAAAATATACGTTTTTGTTACGCCATAATACGATGACATCACGATGCTGCTCAGATATACTCATTTACGTTGTATTACCATTGCTATTGGGGGCTGTAGGTTACCCTAGAGGTTCAAGCGTTAGTTCTTCGCGCCGAAGACCCGGGTTCGATTCCACATATGGGTACAATACGAGTAACCCATTTTCGTGTCCCCGCCGTGATGTTGCTGGAATACTGGTAAAAGTGGAAAAGGCATACTCGCTCACTTGTCAACATGGAGCATCCACGTCAGTTATTTACATCTATGCAATATTTACACCTCAGTGACTGGCGACAGAAAACTTCCCACGGTAGGAAGGCCCCATAATTGATAATTGTCTTGGTGGCATGAGATTCACAATATTTTATTAGAAAAAACATATATTTATACCAAAAGAATCTTAGATTTTGTAAAAGCCCGTACACTGCGGATTATATATTGTTACTTGTTAATTTCAGTGGTGTAAACGTAGTTTGCCTTTTAGTGAGCCATTACATTTTTACGCGGATGGTATGAGGATGGTTTCGACAATTTACGAAGAATAAATTAAGAACAGATATATTATGTCTTTGTCACAGTTAGTATCCCCATTTAACTTCAAAATGTCGGAAATTGCGAAAATGAACGATGCCAAAACTTTAATACTAGTGAGTGGGTGAGTGAGTGAGTATGATCCTCCAGTAATATCACGGCGGGGAACACCAGAAATGGGTTTACCACATTGTCTTCTGCTGACGAGCGAACGCTTTAACCACAAGGCTACCCCACCGCCCCATGCAGTACTAACTCCACACTGCTGGAATAACGCCGAGTGTGTGGTACAAGACCACAAACACACCTACCTTACTCCCTCGTTGGATTGGTGTAAGTATTCCGTCACTACCATCATGCATCAACATTTCCTGGTTAGCGCCCAAGGTCGTCAAGGGGACGCTACTCTCAAAGAGGGACGCGGGGGCGTCAGTGTTCACGCAGGAACTGTCCAGTGGTTCTATAAAGAACAGACCTAAGAATGAATGTGGAGTTACGCCGTTTTAATGTTACGTGAAATTGAATTTCGTTCAAAATTATCGCACTTTTGTTGCAAAGTTAATTTCTCAGTGATTTTCAGTAATATATAATCGACACACAAAAGGAAACACGTGCACATCTTCTTTTAATTTAACTCCCATTTCATATCAGAACAAACCTTAGAGAATTTTGGAGAGTAAGCCAAAGTGACCACTAATTTAAGTTCGTTAAAACCGTAGTTTGTTATATGCATTTGGAAATAAATATACAGCAAGTGCCCGGGTCTAAAGGACAGTTCGTTACATAATTCAATTCGTAATAAGCGTGTTCGATACAAATATAGTTATCTGTACCATCGGTGTATCAATCTAAGAAACGCCAATTCCATTTCAGAGAAAAAACCCGAACGTCACAACATACAAGAAACCAGATGAATAGTTATCTATAAGGTTGATTAGTTACACCCTACCGTCTCCATCCTGATGGTCGTCATGGTAACGGTGTTTTCTTCCCATGCATCCACCATTACTGCGGAAGCCTCGCTTTGGTTCGTGCTGGCTGTCGGCGTCATGGGGAGGCTTGGGGACACTTGCTGTATCTGGATCTCTCGCTTCCCAGTCCTCACGTGATACTGTTTTACGACATGCCGTCATGCGTGTCCGTGACGTATCATCCGTCATGTGTGCTGGCAGGAACAGTGTTTCCGTATTAATTTCCTGCTTGTTTCAAATTACGTCCTTCTTTCATGTCAACACTAATTGAGGTGTAGAGTTTTTCTTGTTTTCCAAAACAGGTTTTCATATTTGACCTGGGTTCATTTATCCAGTATTTACTTTTGATATAACTGGTTTTAACGCTTTGCAAGGGGTGAGAATTAAGCTTTATTACAAAAATCTTAATTGTAGCAGGATGTATGTAAAAATACTCGTTAACCCTGCTGCGCACATTGGGGCATTTGGGTACCCGAGTGGTTACGCCGAAGACTCGGGCCGGTACAATTTCCCGCAATGTTTGAAACCAATTTCTGGTTCCATGTCGTGATATTGCTGGAGTATTGAAACCAGAAATAGGCTTCACACATTGTACCCGGATCATCGGCGTGACAAACGAACGCTGTCGACACTAGGCTATCTCATCACCCCGCATTTCCGAAAGTGGTCAAATGGAACATATGTTATATTTGGGATTACACTTTCTCAGTTAAGGGCGTGATCAGTAATTGTTTATTTTGAGCTGTATGGTTAGTGAGGTGAGGTGAAATTGGGTTTTACGTCGTGCTTGAGAATATTTCGCTCACATGACGACGTGCATGCGTGTGTATGTGTATGTGCGGCTGCTTGTACAAGCCCAGACTTAAGCTGGTTTTAAAGTGCTAGCCCACTGAGATACCATGCCGCAGTGAAGTAGGAATACCCCACTCAGACACATTATACTGACTCTGAGCCGACCAGTCCTTGTTGTACCCATTAATGCCGAGCGCCAGGCAGGGACCAACAAGTACCATATTTTAACGTCTTTTAGTATGACTACACCACGGAGGCGGTCGTATGGTTAGTGGTTACGGCACATATGTAGATGGTTGTTCCAACTGCTAATTACCTGCACAGTTCTTATGGAAGGAGACGTTTCCCGCCGTCAGCCATCCCGTCTGAAATGAAGTCAATAATGGTAGAGAGTGAGTGAACCTGCCGAAATGTCGCTTTGAACTGTTTTCAGTTATATCACGGTGTGGGGCGGTGAGGTAGCCTAATGACTAAAGCGTCGGCTCGTCACGCTGACGACCCGGGTTCGAATCCCCACATGGGCACAATGTGAGAAGCCCATTTATGGTGTCCCCCGCTGTGATATTGCTGGAATATTGCTAAAAGCGGCGTAAAACCCAACTCACTCACTCACTATATCACGGTGTGTTGGATTGAGGAAAGCGACGTCTCGGACGATCATCAGTACGGTGAAACTCGCGCACGAAAATAAGTATGACAAACTTGGAACACATGATCATATATTTCTGCACAGCCTTGCATACGCGACCCTGACGACCGAATGTGTAATTTGAAATCTGAAAATTAACACTTTATTTTAACTTCGTCGCGAAATAGTTAAACTAGTGAACATATTTTGCTTTTACACATCACATTTGTCTCCAACCAGCAGCACAATCTATGAAACGAAAATATGACAAAACACTTGTGCACAGTTTGTTTGCCAGGAGTGTTCGATATTACGATAACCTTACTACTAACTGAACTGGCGGTGACCTTAACCTTGCCCGAGTAAACGATTTTATACAGTTAAGCTGAGAAGCAGTTGCTGACCTTGTTATTGACCTTGACCTGCACCCAGGTTCCGGCGCTTGAGTTGTACGACTTCCCCTGCAGGGTCAAACACTGACCAGAGGTCAAGGTCGTTATTGAAGCACCTCGGCTTCTATAGGTAGTTTTTTACGTCGACATTGGCATTTGCGCATACACAGTCGAAGGGCTCTGAAAGAGATGTATGTGGTGTGAAATGTCTGTGCGATAGCTGAAAATGTAACGCTGTACTGGAGACAGGACAATGTATATATAATAAAACCAATTGATATTCATATAACCAAAGACCGCCTCCGTGGTGTAATGGTTAGAGCGTCCGCCCGGAGAGCGGAAGATCGCGGGTTCGATCCCCGACCGCGTCATACCAAAAGCCGTTAAAATTTGGTACTTGTTGGTCCCTGCCTGGCGCTCGGCATTAATGGGTACAACAAGGACTGGTCGGCTCGGAGTCAGTATAATGTGTCTGAGTGGGGTATTCATGCTTCACTGCGGCATGGTATCTCAGTGGGCTAGCACCATAAAACCAGCTTCAGTCTGGGCTAGTACAAGCAGCCGCACATACACATACACACGCATGCACGTCGTCATATGAGCGAAATATTCTCGAGCACGACGTAAAACCCAATTTCACCTCACCTCACTAACCATACAGCTCAAAATAAACAATTACTGATCACGCCCTTAACTGAGAAAGTGTAATCCCAAATATAACATATGTTCCATTTGACCACTTTCGGAAATGCGGGAATTTCACCTCACCTCACCTCATATCACCAAAGTCGTCTTATTATTTTCACGTAGCTCACTCACCATTACACTTTTTTATGTATATGTCGAATGCCAGTAGCCAGGCGATCTGAAAGATGAAAAAAGAATTGTGACCAATATTAGAATAATTAATTGATAGTTGGCTGAATTTTATCACCAATATCTGTCTGCTGAAACAGTTGTAGACTAGAGGTCTCTCGAGCCACCACGGTAAAATCAACCTGCAGGGGCGGTGGGGTAGCTTAGTGGTTAACGCGTTCGTTCGTCACGCCGGAGACCCGGGTTCGATTCCCCACATGGGTACAATGTGTGAAGCCCATTTCTGGTGTCCCCCGCCGTGACATTGCTGGAATATTGCTAAAAGCAGCGTAAAACCAAACTCACTCACTCACTCAGCCTGCACAAGTAGGTTTACAATCATTACTCTCAAACTTTAACATGGGTTAAACAGTCAGCCCTGACGACCCACTTCTGCATTTGAGACAAGGGCAATACAATTACATTGTAAACTGACGTACAAAAAAAAAAGGTTACACTTGGTGCTTTGGGCTCGTTTTGCAACAAACAACGTACATATTTTGAACAGTGTTTTGACTGTGACTTACAAGTCACAAACATTGTGGACATGTTGCTGAAACAAAATAGATTGTGTTTTGAACGTAATCCCTAAACACCGGGTGTGTACTTAATTTTGTACGTCAGTCTACTCACATGATATGTAGATGTAATGGAATCAAGGATCGGTATGCAAACACCAAATGAATTAAATATATATGTATATACTTCACAGGAAAGAAAACAATAGGTACTACTGTTACTACTGCTGCTGTTGCTCCTACAACAACAACTACTGCTACTACTACTACTACTACTACTACTACTACTACTACCGCTACTACTACGTTGCATAACGCCGAACTCAACCAGATAGATCCAACTATATAAAGGCGGTCAATATCGAATCCGAACCAGACAATCCAGTGACTGATAACACAAGCGAGCCTGTCCACCCAACTATAACTGCTACTGAGTGAGTGAGTATGGTTTTACGCCGATTTTAGGAATATTCCAGCAATATCACGGCGGGGGACACCAGAAAAGGGCTTCACACATTGTGCCCATGTGGGGAATCGAACCCGGGTCTTCGGCGTGACGAGCGAACGCTTAAACCACAAGGCTACCCCATTGCCCTCTACTGTTACTACTGCTGCTACTACTACTACTACTACTACTGCTACTACTACTGCTTCTACTACTACTACTACTACTGTTAATAATGCCCCACACAAACGCTCTTCAAAGCATTTCAATTTAAATACGAGCCCGATTTAATTTGACGAATGATTAATTCACGAGATCAGTCTTAATTCTACTTGACTCAGCAGTTTTGTACTCACCATTCCGTGATATGACACTTGGACATATATCCGGCCGTCATTGAGAGCTTGTTGAACCCCGTGGTACGGGAGGCACCTCAGGGAACTCAGCGTCCCGAAAACATCATCGGCAGTTTCCGTGTAGTTCCTCTCGATAGCTGTGTCCACTGATGCGCATGCGCACTGACTGGAGGGAGCCGTGTACCCAAGGGTTGATGTTACCAAGGCAACCGAAATTAGTGTACACAACATCTGAAAAAAGTTATTTATTTGAAGATCAAACAATCAAGAATAAACCTCACCTAGAAAATGACACAAATGCAGCTGTTTTTACGTTTTAATTTTCTACATATCATCTGTCAACCTCAAGCATATTTGTGATGCCATGTTTCGGCCTAACGATCCCCATTTTGTTTGACTTTTTATCTCGGTACGCCCCAAAACACCCTCAAAATCTGAAATAAATGCATCACAAACTTCAGGAAATAACATATGCAAGATTATATATTTTGTGTGTTTGAGATTGGCAGAAGTCCGCCAGAATCAAACTTAGATATTAAAATGCATAAAATAGCAATTTGAAACTATAATCACTTGTTAAATTGGCTCTCCCTTCATGTTTACTGAAAGAGCTGTTTTGGAGACACTACGCATCCTCCTTTCAGATGACGTTATCATAAGATAACTTATTCTAATGTTTCCACTTATTCATACATGGTGCCAAGGGTTCAAACTAAATACGGAATGGTCACACATGTGTCAGCTCTCAATATATTGCAAACAATGCCAGCCAGGACACACTATTTTTGAAAGATTAAAATGGGAGGTGTCCTTAAAAACATCCCCCGTCTAAATATGAATCAAGCAGTCCAAATCATGGAATGTTGATTATGAAAGTCATCCAATACTATATTGAACATATTCTATATGATATTATCTGAGGGCATACCACAAGTCAAAACATTGATTACACAGTCTCGTTTCCTGTTGACTGGGTTCCGTCCTATTGCGCAACTTAGTACAATAACCAGTCCAGAATTTTGATACCGATTCATTTAACTGGATACATAAATATTAATCAGTATTATCTGATACATCAAAGCACTTGTATATTGCAACACTACGCTCCTTCTAATCCTTGCAAACACGTCGTGCAGCGTGCTCTGTCGTTCAGCGAGCTCTGACAAACGGAAATCTGGAAATCGTTGAATTCTTAAAACGAGGCTATGCCGCTAGAAATGTTTGGCGGTCTGGTACGGATTTGATATTATATCAATCACATTGTGCGTTACAGAACTACACTGAATGAGCGAAAAAACACACAACAAGCGTAACCAGTAAGCCAGATGTATTGTGAATCATTTTACGACCTCATCCAACTGGGCAGTCTGTGACGTCTTAGTTAAGGTCATGCTGCCTACACCTTGCCATAAAATATAGAAATACGATGTTATTAAAGTTTAGAATTAAAATTCATTTGTAAATACCGTTTTCGTATGAAACAAGCAATTGCAGTTCAGGGTAACCATAGTTGTTTGTGATGTCTACTTTCACTTTCAAACTTCAGCTTTGCTAATGATTCCTTCAAAATAAACTGGTTCCACGCTTTTCAAACACTGGACATCGAGAATATAGTTAGGCTGACTACTTTTTGAACGCCCCTCACACGAAATGAACTTCAAGAATCGGGGGGATAGGGAACAATTATGGTGTCACACATATATGCGGCTAATAGAGGAGCAATGTGTTTGCGTTAATTGCCCTTATCATCAGTAAACAATAACCGTGAAGGTCTTCATTGGTCTTAAGTGATTGAGTGAGTGAGTTTAGTTTTACGCCAGATTTTTAGCCTTGTAGCAATATCACAACAATATCACGGCGGAGAGACACCAGCAATGGGCTTCACGCATTGTACTTATGTGAGGAATCAAACCCGGGTCTGCGACGTGACGAGCGAACGCTTTAACCACTTGGCTACCCCACCGCCTCCCGGTATTAAGTAACCCATGCTTGTCGTAAGAGGCGACTAACGGGATCGTATACACATTGGGTAGATCGATGTTCATGCTGTTGATCACTGGATTGTCTGGTCCGGGCTCGATTGTTTACAGACTGCGGCCATATAGCCGGAATATTGCTGAGTGCGGCGTTAAACATCCCATCGACCAAGTAAACGAGCGCTAGAATAATTTAGCCACCGACGAGTAACAAGTTATTTATAGACGGGGATTTCCCTTACGATCTCCCGCTAAGCTGTTCAAGCATTACCGAACTGCGCCGCTGACGGTTCGCTTTGAGATGTATATGTTTTAATGGAAACACACATCCTTCAAAATGACACAGCTAAGCGTTAGATCTCTTACTCTAGGGCTTTATGATACAAACAATATCATCAAAATCCATGACGAGATTAAAACGACAGTGCAGAGCACAACACTGACGCGCGTAACAATACCTACCTTCTCTCGGAGCTGGCGACTGGGAACTGACTAAGACTGGGCCTCCGTCGGATGACGTGGCAATGTATTGCGCCTTGAGTTTAGTTACATCCTTTCGGCTTTACCGAGATGGCTACTTTCATTATTGACAACTGCTATTTCTAAGAAAGAGCAATTTTGTATAATTTAAGGCTTCTATTTTTACAGGAATAATGAATGTTGGTGAAGCAGTATCAGTTAACAGAGGCATTTCTATATTAAGTAACAGTGATTCGACATGCTCAAAATATATGACTACACCCTTACAGTGTGTGCTTTTATACTATAATGTCACAAATGAGCAAACACAATAACAATGCAGAGTCTCGGTGTGCTGGCTATGAAATCTTCGTGTGTTGATGACACCCAGCCACAGAGCCTTAACACCACAGCCGTTATGGCGCCTCTTACTGTGAGGTGAGGTGAGGTGAGATGAGGTGAGGTGACGTGGGGTTTAACGTTGTACTTGAGAATATTTCGCTCATATGACGACGTGCATGCTTGTGTGTTTGTGGCTGCTTGTACCAGCCCAGACTTAAGTTGGTTTTATAGTGCTATATGACCTTATTAAAGTATAAATCATCAGTGCAAGAGTTTATTTTCATTAGAGGAAGTATGCCTCATTAGTGGAAGGGTCTACTTTTCGAAAGGTAGAACAGCATTTACGTGATGTGCAGTCAACCCTAAATTTGTTTTGATAAGGGTGTAGGTGAAATGAGGTGTAGGCGAAATGAGGTCAGACCTTTGTGGCTTTACCATGAAAGCCGAGCGCCAGGTAGGGACCAACAAGTACCATATTTTATCGTCTTTTGGTATGACGCAGCCGGGCCTTTTACTATGAGTATACGTGTAGGATCCAACACGGATCCTTTTCCTTTTCTCAGCGTGTACCATATTCCCAAAAGCTGTCAGCAAGCCGCCATTATATATGCAGGGAGTATTCAATGTTTTCAAAGTTATCCATTACTATTGATGTAAATATTTCTTCTCCTTGCATGCACCCATAAATTGTTAAGCATGACATTATTGGTTTGTAATGATTGAAGGAGGATACACTGGCAATTGTCATATTTTTTATGGACTGAAATAAACACAGAGATAAACACCACCATATCTAAATAGGATTTGAGACACGTTCTGTTTCACGATGCCACTGAATTTAGAAGCTCATTTATGATGGAAACTTGAACTTAGCCGCTTTACATAACATATCCCATGGAAATTGTTTCACATCGTGCTTTCCCAAACTTAAGTTAGCACGTTCCAACTCATTCACAGAGACCTTTATAAATCACCCACGTAAAGACCTAACCGCCTGGGGCGGTGGGGTAGCCTAGTGGTAAAGCGTTTGCTCGTTAAGCCAAGGACCCTGTTCGATTCCCCAGGAGGGTACTATATATGTGTGAAGCCCATTTCACTTGTTCTCTGCTGAATATTGTTGGAATATTGCTAACAGCGGCGTAAAACCATACTCACGTCCTCACTCGATTCCGCACGTGGGTACTATATATATGTGAAGCCCATTTCTGGTGTTCCCCGCCATGATGTTGCTGGAATATTGCAAAAAGCAGCGAAAAGACCTACTCACTCACTTAGTAAATGACGACCGCCTCCGTGGTGTAGTGGTTAGAGCGTCCGCCCGGAGAGAAAATCAGTGAGGAGAGGGATTCAGTGACAGCTGGTGTGTGAGGGGACGGGCTAAAGTGCAGAGTATGTCAGAGCGTGCACGTGTGTGTGTGAGCGTACATGAGGAAGTTGGTGAGCGGGTGGATGTGGTGTGAGGCGTGGAGTGGTTGCGTTTATCAGTCGGGATGTGCGTGTGTCTGTGATCAACAGCATGAGCATCGATCTGCGCAATTGGGAACAGCGAGCCAGACCACCCGATCCCGTTAGTCGCCTCTTACGACAAGCATAGTCGCCTTTTGTGGCAAGCATGGGTTGCTGAACACCTATTCTGTCTCGGATCTTCACGGGTCTGGATAATGAAGATGTGAGGGTATGGAAGCGTGGTTGGGTTGGGTGTCCGAGTTTGTCCGTCTATGGTTGGATGTTGTGTGAGGTATGTAAGAAGATGTTTGTATAGGTTGAGTTTTATGAATGTGCTTTTTTTAAAAACAAAACGCTTGTAAACGTTTGTGATTTTACGCTCAGGTGTCTTTTCGGACAGTAATGGTCCGGTATGTTAAAAATGAATATGTATGTATTTTATCTACCTGTACACATGACACCATTCTAAACCTAGTCTATATTATTATTATCCATCGGGGATATACGGTAGAAGACGATCCCGACCCAGTAAACACGCCATAGTGTATCTGAGGGGGTCTCCTCGTTTTGCCACCCCCTATTGTTAAGGGTGGCGAAGCAGTCATGGGAGGTGGCAGGGGTCGTCTCAAGTATTTTAGAAAGTATTATGAAACTCTGCACAATATTTACATAACAGTGTCTTAAGTATTATTAAGAAATTGCACAAAATGTGCACACGTTTTTAATGTATTTACACAAATTACATGAAATTGTAATACAGTACAAAATAAGAATATTAAGGAATTTATTACACAGATTACACACTTTCACAATTATAAACAATTAAAGTCCAATGAGGTGAAATACAGAATCGGCATACTCCATTGGCGTCTTCATGTTGGCCTGGCTTGGAGGATGGTTGTGAACATGGTTCTGGGTTATGATGAGGTCGTTCTGGGCATGTAGCAGTACAGTATTTCCAGTGAATGCTGGCACCTCGCGTTCTCGTAACTCTATACGTAAAACCTTGAAGTATTAGACTACGGCCACCCCGACTGTTAGGAACGAACTCGACATTCACAAGTGAACACCGTTAACATTATCATGGATGCTCATTAAGTCTGAGTTCAGTTCACTCACTGCTGCTGTGAGTAATTTTGACATGACCCCTGTGCTTGTATAAACACAGTAACTGTCACTCCTTTTCAGGGTGGTGGCAAAGTGAGTATAAACCATCTGAAGCCTGGCACTAAGACGACTACCATTCAAAGCCGTCATTGATGCGTATATTGGAAACAAAGGGGAACCACGGTGAACTGTTCACTATAGTCTGTTTGCAGTGAAAACGTACAGATGAATTTCATTTTAAATAAAAAAAGTAAATCAAATTAAGTGAAATTACGATTGCTAATCCTCATAATTTTACCTTGTCAATTGAACATTTAAATCTCAGAATTTTATTCAACTCAGGATAAAAGTTGTTTAACAAACGATCATAGTTTGAAATCGCTATTATTGCTTTGTATTACAAGGGAGTACGCGCAGTAGTTGGAACAGTGAAACAAATGCACGTGCGGTACGTGATAAGTGTTAACTTAGACTACCGTAGAAACCAACCCTTCTTGTTCTCGGGGTTTCATTTAACCGCGAGGCGCAAGGAGGGGCTGATACCAACAACTGTCAGTGCCCCCTGTGTTGTTACAGTGTGTCAGTGGGGCTGGATGTCAATGTGTCTCAGCGTCTTGTAGGGATGTTTGGATACGACAGAAATGTGTCGGGGATATCGGGCTACGGACCACCTGGACAGAGCAGCGAACCCTTTCCTCTTAGTAATGACTCTATGTTTGTTTCTACTGTAACACCGCACTCATTTGCTGAAAAGTGAGTTCAGTTTTACGCCGCACACAGCAATATTCAAATATATGGCGACGGTCTGTAAAGAATCGAGTCTGGACCAGGAAATCCAGTGATCAACAGCATGAGCATCGCACTGGGATACGATGACATGTGTCAACCAAGTCACGAACATGACCACCTGATCCCGTTAGTCATCACTTACGACAAACATGGGTTACTGATGACCAATTCTACCCCGAGTCGTTCACTGAAAAAAGCGTTATATAACTATGTTTTTTTTGGTGTTTTTGTATAATTAACGTCTGAGGCATATAACTGTAGAACATGGACAATATGAGACAAACTCACATCAAGTATTTCAGTCTTTCAGGCATCTTCCCCATGAGTTTACGTAAGTATGGTCTTAAGCCGCATTTTGCACTCTTCAAGCATTGTCACGAGAAATGGGCTTTACAAGTTGTGGGAAATCAAAAGGGGGTTCTCGGCGGCGTGATAAGCAAACGTTTTAAGCACTGAGGTTCCCGACCGCCCCCTTTTTGAAAATGCGCGTTTCGGGAGGAGAGGATTGTATGTAAGAATCTTCTACTTGGATAAAATAGGGTCATCGAGGAGATTGTGAAGAAGTAAGTGAGTGAGTTATCACGCCTCTTCTAGCAATATTCCAGCAATATCAATGTTACACAATAAAGACAAGTTACCAACAGATTTAACAGCGTCGCATTTATTTAGTTTCAAAGTGGGAAAATTACAGAACTGCACAAATCAGTATATATTCAGGTGTTAGAAAAGCACGTGCCCATGTGCCGACAAAGTTATTGATTCATTATCCTGTGCTGTGCCGTCTCCATCATTTTTTTCGCACAACTGGCTGTCCCTTTCTCTGCACTCCTCCCTCGTAACAAATAGTGAACTGTGTCGATATTTAAATGATAGTTTGTTAAAGAACTTTTTTATTTTTAAGACATAAATTCTGCAAACACCTCTCAGAGTTGGTCTGACTTTTTGATTATGATCAGTGTTTCATTGAGTATTTTATGTTATCAGTTTTCGAGTTTTCGATTGCAATTCATCGGTCCGCTTTTGAGCCAAACGGAGTATAGAATAAATGTATACTCTTGGGTCAGCTTCCGTCATTAAGTGTGCGACTGGATACAGGAAACAGTAAACAGTTGAGGACTGGTGATCACTGAATAACTCAAGTAGGGTGAAGAGTCAAATGGTTGTACAAGTAACTATACAATGACAAATGTCAAATTTACTTGATCAACTCTTCTTTTATGTCATACTGGTGTAAACATCATGTGACACATGGGTTACTGACGTCGTTACCCACTCTTATTCCACGGACAGTATAATATGATTAAATACTGGTGTAAGTCTCTTACGACTGGTAA